TGCACATTTGATCAAATAAGAAAAAATTATTGACAAAACGAAGTCAATTATTTTAATAATAAGTTGCACTAATACACTTCTGCATGTCAGCCGAGAAAAGTGATAATTTTTTTTATCAGCCCCGATTTTTACCAGCAATAATTCTGTTGCTACTATTACATCTTGGCTGTATAAGATGTCTACAGTATGACCATTAATGAGCAGAAAAACTCAAAACGTTAATTCTACGTTTTTTTTATGCTCAAAAATAATTTTGGAGACTCATTACGATTAAAGGTGACCGTCTTCTTGCTTTATCCTTGATCTCAAAATTGGTTTGAAAAAGACATCATTTCTAACAATTTCTGGCAAGTCACTAGTTTCATAACTCTACAAACAGTGATTTGTGCTATTCTGTTGGCTACTCTCAACTACTCTCAATGGAAGCAGACCACTTATTTGTAAGAAGCTGCAGATAAAACAATTCAACAAAATTTAGACGTGATGTATATAAAAGTTGATATAAAGTGTTAAAACTAAAGTGAAGGTAAAAATCAACCCTAATTTAACGTTACCAAAACAAATAGCACTTTGTTGGCATGTGTAGTGCTTCTTTGTCCTAATTCAAAAAAGAAAAAGAAAACGTCCCCGGACAAAACAATGATCCACCTTTATTCTACTCTGGATTAAAATTGAAAATACTCTTCAAATCTAGCAGTGACTGCACAAAATTCAATTTTAATTAAGTACCCTACTTAACGACTCAAGGAGAAATCTATTGTTTTTTACAGAAAACAAAAATGTTGAATAGAAAGATTTTTTGTTTTACGTTTATTGCATAGTTATGCTTTTCCTCAGAAAACCAACAAAAAAACTTGCTTTCTTCTTAATTCTAAGTTTTTTAAAAGTTTATAGAATTTTTGCTGCTATTACATAAAATGTGCTGATGAATAAATATGGATGTTCACTGCAGATTAAAAATGCCTCTAAATGATGGAATTTTTTTGATTTTAAGACCGCAAAGAAACTATGAATGCTTCCAACTATATCATAGCTAGTGTTTCCATTCTAATGCACCAATATCGACTCAAGTGAGCGTCTAAGAGTCACAGCAGAAGAAAAGTTAAATACTGAAATAATTACCTCTTCATCTCTAACTAGAATAACTTTTACTTTTGTTTATACAAACTTTTTAAAGCTCATTGTTTATTTCACAACAACAAAATATAAATAGAATCAACTTCAAACGACTTTACTTGAACTATTTTAAATATATTTTTTATTTGATTTCAAACTTTATTCACAAAAAAAAAAA